TTTTGATACAGATTATGGTGCCCAGGCTGGACTCAAACTCCTGGGCTCAAGCAATCTCCTGTCTCGGCCCCCCAAGTAGCTGAGACTACAGAGGTATGCTGCTGCACCTAGCATCTGGGGTTTCTAAAGGCTTTTTTATGGAAATAAGTTTCCAAGTTTTATGTTTTTAATACTCTCCTCACTGGATATTTGTACTCAGCTTCAGTCTTTCTTTCTGGAGATGGACATGTACCTACTGAATAAACCAGCTAAACTTCGAAAATTAATGTATAACTTACAAAAATGGGATATTTAAAGTTAGCCCAGAAAAGATAGGTAGGATTTGAACAGAAGAACAGGATAGGAAAGCATGTTCCAAGCAGGAAAAACCAAAAGCCAATCTCAGAAGCAGGTTTTTTATTTACTTGTCCTTCCTACTTCATAGGGTTGCTGAAAAAGTTAATATGAAAGTACCTTCAAATGTATAAAGAAAAATACAAATATATGGGTTTATTAACATAACCAATCTTTAAATATCAAAAGAAAACAACTTAAAAATAAAAAAGATTCAAAGCTAGCAAAGAATAAATTTTTTAAATACTCACACATCAGACACCTTAATGTATTATGTGATTTTATCCTCAGAACAACTTGGGAGAAGTTAAGTAACTTGCTAAAGATGGCAAAACTAATAATGCTGGATCCTAGCCTGTGAGCACTGTGAGGGCAAGATGTGCATCTGTCTTATTCACCACTGAATCAAGCCCCAGCACCCGGGTTGAAACATGGCACACAGGAAGAGCTCAATGAATGTGTGAATGCACAGTAAACAAAGCCAGGATATACACCTAAGGCAATCTGACCCAAATTCCATGCTTTTCCCACTTACAGTAAATAGATAACAAAACTCAAAAATCTCTGATTGAGAACAAAGATGAGTAAAGTTGAGTTGGGCTGTCTAACAGGGAATGGTTGAATGATCTTTGCTAACCTTGTTGCAGGCATGCAGGAGGAAGAATGAAATGACCTAAAGCCACCGAGTTTTTCATTTCAGCCTTAGCTACTGCAGAGAGATAGCAGGCGTGAAAAACTGTAGCGTTATCTTCTATGTAATCAAGGCTCTGATATATTCTAGGAGAAAGAAAGGAAATCTTTTAGGTTATGAAATAAATAAGAATGTATTCAACCTTTCAAAAGAATGAATAAATAATTGGAAGTAGGGGTTGGTTACATTAAAGCATACATTTATGCTGATCCTTTTTTTCTGGCAACGAAGTAAGAATATATGGCTTGAGATATTAGTAGTTTGGGGGCCTAAACCTAGGCAAATCTCAGCTTTAGAGACTTCGTTAATGATTAAATGAATTAGGAAACTTGACCTAAAACGGTACTGTTTACTGCACATCAACAGTAGGTTGAGAGCCAGTAGCCTATGAGTTTTATCCACAGTCACTCTTTTATGAAGAGGAATCAATTGATTTGAGGTCGCGAGTAGGCACGCAGCCTTCACGTATAGAAGGCAACATCTTTCCTACAGGTAGAGATAAGAGGAAGGGCGTGAGGGAGGGTGGTCGTGATCCCATCTCTGCTTTGTAAACAAAATCTAACAGCGATGTGCCGGGGAAGAAGTAATTAAGGGGCTACTAAGATAATGGCAGTGAGGATGAAGAACAATTAGGGGGATTCAGTTATTTGGGCACTGACTGGAGGGTAGGAGACGTTATTAAAAGAGACTTCGAAGGTTTAAGTTTGGAGAACACGGGACCTGGTGCAGGTATGAGGGGTAATCAAGAGATTCGGTTTAGACATCGAGTATGAGGGGCCTTCGAGGCGCCACGTGGAGGTGTGGGAGAGACAGCTGGAAGCGCACACCTGGAATTCGGGAAGGGACCTGAGGACCAAGTGGAAGGCCATGACACTGCGGCGGGAAGGAAAGGGGTAAGGTTATCTATTTTTCTCCCACACCTAGGACTGAAACCCCGCTCGTTTCCGGTCTCACCCTATCGTCAATATTTATTAATGGGTTGGAATTTCCATCCCCAACTCCGAGCTCATCATGACACAAGAGGCAATGCCGAGTGGCTCGCAAGTACCTCAGCGTGTCTGGGTGCGAGGCATCACAGCTGAACAAGAAGTCGGCTGCCCGCGGGTCACTGATCGTCCCCCCTTCGGCCACTGTGGAGGCAAGAGCACAAGGTGAGACCACCAGGCACCCTGGAACCGAGGCACCAGAGGGAGGAGCGACGCTGCCCTTGTCACCACACCCACCCCTTCCGCTCAGCTTCCTACCCCAGAACTGCCTCAGGTCCCGGCTGACGCTGCTGCTGAACCAACCACACTGCCCTTGAAACATGGCGCCACGTCGCCGGCAAGGCCGGGCAGGGGAGGGTCCAGAGCTGAGGTCGCTGATTGGTCCAGGTCTGAAGCCGAGCTCCATGATTGGTCCCCAAGAGCAATGGGCGGGAAAGGCCTGAGGCACTTGGAAGAGGGCTGGTCACTACCTGGCTGCGCTGACCCATTCTTCGGGATGGTTTGAGGCCTGCCAGCCTTCTCCTGATAGAGGAAGGAGGGTCGCTGGAGCTGGTGAGTTTGAAAGCCTAAGTATTAACAAAGTTATTCTGCTGTGTTGCACAGGCGTATGTACAGATTCTGTGGCATCGGATATTATTTTGAAGCAAAACTCATTTTATCATTTCATCTATAAATGTTTCAAAGTGAGACATTTGAGGACTGTTTAAAAAACACAACTATGATACCATTATAGCACTTAAAAGATACTTCTTTAATATAGTCAAATACTACCAGTGTTCAGGTTTCCATTTTTTTCAAAAGTATTGTTTTTCTTTTACAGTTTCTCTCCTCTTACATCAGTTGTGTTAGGTTAGATTTGTTTGGTGTTGGGTCCTTTTAATCTAAAATTTCAAAGTTATTGGTATAAAGTTGTCCATAAAAATCTTTTTATCTTTTTGTAATGTCTGTAGTCTCTCTAGTCATGGTTCTTTTTTCATTTCTGATACTGGTTATTTGTGCCTTCTCCCCTTTTATTTCCTAGTATCATCTGAGGCTTGTCGATTTTATTAGCCTTTTCTAAAGAACAAACTTCTGATTTTGTTACTCTCCTTATATATTTCTTTTCTATGTCATTAATTATAAAGAGCTAATTATAATTTCCTTTCCTTTATACCTAGAGAAACTCTAGCTCCCATGCACATATATACTGGTACATATATATAAGAATGTTTATGGCAACAATAGCAAAAGAAAAAAACTAGAAACTACTTATCTATAATATCAACAGTAGCTGAGATACGCAAATT